TTTGGGTCGGGGGCTGCTCTCTCCCCTCCCCCATCACCCTCCCCGCGCTGTCCCCGCCGCTGTCACACCGTTGTCACCGACAGCAGCGGATGCTCCGAACGCCCCCCGTGCGCCAACATCATCTCCTGAATCGTCACCCAATTATCCAAAATCCGCCGGTTCCGTTTGCGCAGCCCCTTCCGCGACCCCGCTCCGTGCGGAGGAGGCGGGGGCTGCTCGGGGACCCCTCCGGCCGCTCCCCCGGGACCCCCGGGACCCCCGGCGGGCTCGGGCCGCCCTTGGAGCAGCAATTCCCGGCGGCGCCGCTGCTCCCGAGCCCGGGCCAGGTGCTGCTTGCGCTGCTCGCGGCTCCAATARCGCCCGGTTTTCAGCTCGCTCCGCGCGTCGTCGTCCGTGGAACCGCCGCGTTCTTCCAAAATTTTAATAGCCCGAGCTTTGAGCAGCCGGTCCCGGCCGGGCCGTTTGGCTCGGGGSCCTTTGGCGGAGCTGGCGGGAGGGAACGCTGCTGGAGCGGCTCCGAGCGCGGCGCGCAGCGTTAACGGSGAGCTGCGGGAGCTCTCGCCGGTGTTGTAGGCGCTGGTGCTGTCGCGCTCCGGAGCCTCGGCGATATCGGCCAAAGGCCCCTCCACCCCCGGCCGGGGGTCCCGCCAAGCCCGGCGGCCTCGCTCGCGGAGCCGCTCCAGCTGCTGAGCCCGCAGGAGGTGGCGGCATTTGAACTCCAAATGGCGGAGCTCCTCCTCCAACCGCGCCAGCTCCGCCCGGCCCGCGGCTCCTCCTCCTCCTCCTCCTCCTCCTCCGCCCGCGCAGCGCCCGCGCAGCGCTCGGTAGCGGCGGAGCTCCGCGGGGCTGAGCGCGGGGAGAGGCGGAGATGGAGAACCGGGCAGCGCCGGTGCCAATCCCGGTCCTAATCCCGCTCCTAATCCCGGTGCTAATCCCGCTCCTAAACCCGCTCCCAACCCCGCTTCTAACCCCGCTCCGCGCCGCCCGCCCGCTCCGCTTCCGGCTCTTCCCGCCGACCCGCAGCCGGAGCCGCTCCGCGCGGCGGCGGATCCAGCGCCGGGTTTCGCGTGGAGCCGCGCGGCGTTTTGGGGCGGATTTGGGGCATTTTGGGGAGGGTTTTGGGGGTCGCGGCGGGGAGGGGGCGGTCGCGGTGGGGGAGGGGGACCCTCGCCCGCCTCCTCGGCCAGAAGATCGTGCTCCGAGCTCTCCTCGTTGCGCGTGGATTCGTCCGTGCGCCCCACGCCGCTGTCGGGCTCCGCTCCGCGGCCGCCCCCGGGCGTGGCCGGGCTGGGGGGCTGCGAATTGGGGAGGGGGCGTCAGGAAAAGACCCCTCCCCACCTCCCCCCCGGACAGCCAGGGACCCCCTAGAGCAGCCCACAATTCTCTATTGGCCCCAGAATCTCCCGTTATCCCCATTTTCCCCTCTCCCAGGTCCATTTTTCCCGCATTTTTCCCCCATTCCCATTTTTCCTCAATTTCTCATTTTTCCCATTTTTCCCCCATTTCCCCCATTCCTATTTTCCCCCATTTTTCCCCATTTTCCCATTTCCCCATTCCCAATTTCCCATTTTCCCATTTCCCCCATTCCCATTTTTTCT